CCCCAAAACTGTCCCAGAGTTCAATTCGTTTCTGTACCGTCCCAGGCTCCTCACGTGTAAAGTCAAAATGACCAGATAAGGTCACTATAGGTGTTTTCAGGGAGCGCGTACTAGAATTCGCTATGTTTAATAGCGTTACACTCAACTCTTTAAGACGATCATTGCAACCGTTTTATAACTGTTACCCGAGAGAAGCGTCCGCCTGGTAGAAAATAGGGGGAGGGGACAACTTCAGATGCTCATTTTAATGAGCTGTTAGTTTGCTTTCACAGTCACAGACAGACAGCTACACTCTTGGCTCGCTTGTTCGAAAAATACGCCTCCGATAGATGGCCGTGCGGAATCAAATTCTGAGTTGTATTAACAAAAATGGATTCGAACCCTTGCTGAGCTTTGTCATTACGCTTTTTTTTCTTTTTTTATTCAATTATTATATAATTGCATTTTCCGCAGGTTTTATTCAAGAACTCAAAAGCATCGAACAGTGAGTGGCTTTTTCTGTATATGACAAGTTAAGTAAAGAAAAGAAACTTACGTAAAGGTGAACCTTTGTGGAACAGCTTTGTTCGAAGCGATCGCCAGATTTGGTGTATAGTACTACGTAATGTGTTAGTACACATGCAATGGAAATGAGAACAAAGTTTTGAGCACATTGCTTTTTTATGTGCGTAAATGCTGGCCAGAAAACTGTTTATGCAGCAGCTAAGAGCAACGTTTCATCAGACATCGAGGAGTTATTGGGTTGACCTTGTCTACTATTCCTTCTCATGTTTACTCTTTGTGAGTTTGGACCTGTTTGGAACTTAGAGCTACCCAATTTAGAGGTTAAGCCAGCAGTTTTTTTACCGCATTTTCCAGCCTACGAAATGACAGTAAATTTTGACCCCAATTTAGACAAACGCCACTTAGCCTTACACAGGGAAATCGACAAGTAGTTACAGCCTATTTCAAATCAAACACTTCGAAAGGTAATTAAAGACACTATGCGATCATTTTTTTGTTGTTGTTGAAGATACTGCAGGAGATGTGAAAGAAGATGACGCTGACAATTATGATGGCGAGGATGATGAGAATAGAAGAAATGACGATGATATTGATGACTTTGACGAGGACAATGACTCTAAATCAGAAGTTAACCACAAGAAGAAAGTAAATGGTGAGCCACAGAAAGAACCAAGGAAAAGAAAAGCGTTGGACACTGCTGAGGAAGAATCGCCTAAAAAGAAGGTTTGTTTTTATTTTCAGTCCTTCAAACACATGTCTGGCCTGGCAAAAAGTTAAATGAAAATGGTCCCATATATTTGACAAGCTGACCGAGTTGGAAGAATCGTGAAAAAGCTTTTAATAACACAAAGGTACTTCACAAACGACGTTTTTACGGCCGTAGCTGTCCTGGTAGCTTAAGCTCCCTAATAGAGTCTTGTCATTGGCTGATATTCGTTGTTCTTTCCTCAGTCAAAGCCTGCTTGTAAATATGGATCGAAATGCTATCAACGGAGCGAGGAGCACGGACAGAAATTCAGCCATCCTAAAGTAAGTAAATGAGGTGTGAAAAAAAAACAGTTTTTGACACACACTGCCTTTTGCGCCGAGCTGGTGTTTTTTTTTTTTTTCTTCCTACAGAAAAAAGCTGCAAATTAATCAATCTAATAATCTGTATCAAACCGGAAAACGGAGAGAAAAAAAAGAAAGAAAGAAAGAAAGAAGCACACGCACAACTTTTCACGCAAATGATATAGTGAGATTTGTTTTGCAAGCTGTAAGAAAATTTAGTTTTCATAACAATAAGAAGTTTAGTTGGAAATCAAACTATATAGTGAATGCACTTTCGTACATCAGTTTCTGTATATTTGATTATTCGCTTTTTGTAATTTCGCAGGAAGATGAAGTTGTTGGCAGTCCAAGCAAAGGGCAGGTAAGTAAGGCTTGTAATTATTGGAAACATTTGTAATGTTTGAGTCAGTTTTGAATTTTTTTCAAAACCATTAACTCCTGTAAATTGTTATTCTCCTCGTTTGTTTTAGTAATTTGTATTATAATCTACAGTTTCTGTTATGCAAAGAATGTACTTTGACATCCTTTTCATTTTTTACAGCGCTTGAAAGACATCTTCCATGGGCTGACAATTTTCCTCTCGAAAGACCTTGAAGATCACGCGAAACTCAAAAGATATATTATTGCGTATCCTTTGAAATACCTTTTTGTCAAATTTAATTAAAAATGGGCTGGGAAAAGGTGTATCGCTTTAGTCGACAGCGTACGGAATAACATGCTCCTGTGTTTCTTATTCAAAATAGGATTTGCAATGTTTTGAATCCGCACTCGGCTTAAATTCAGCGGATTTAATCAGTGTTTCTTTAGGGAGATATTTGAAGAGAGGAATTTCGGCTTGAAATTTGGCCAGCGGAAAGCAAAATGCCCTACCAACCCCTGGTACAGGCTGTGAATCCGTCTTTGGTTTTGCCGTTTTTAACCGGAATTTGAAAAGTCTAGTGCAACACATATTGTAAGCAACAATAGGGTAAGAAGATGAAAAATATTTTGCACGTTTTTACTTTTTGTCATGTCATTAGTGTGGTAAACTTCACTGCGAACAGTTTCTTATTCATGAATTTTTGTAGGCCTTTATAGGACCGGACTAGAAACGGGAAGACAAACCGCAAAAATAAAAATGAGGCAAAGGAAGAAAGAAAAACGGAAGAAGCAAAATTTGCAAAGAATAAAGAGGGAAGAAACTCAAAATGCAAGCGTGTATTATGGAAAACATGAAAGCGGGGAAAAGACTCTGTACAATCCCCCCCCCCTTCCCTCTCCACTCCTCTTCCCATGTTCTTTCTCTTCGACACTGGAAGCAACGCTTTGAAGGCGATAAGCTAAAATATTTTATTAGCGATGTAACCAATGCCCGCTGTTCTTATCGTGTCTGCTCTTTCTTTTTTAGGATGAACGAAAGGAGCAAGGATCGACCAAGGTTGTGTCGCCATCATGGATTTGGAAGTGTATTAAGAAGGGCCGTCTCGTACCAGTTAATAAATTTCTTGTATAAATTTACAGCACTCGATCACTTTGACGGTTTTCAATTCCTTCCAGGATCAACTGCTTGGATAATTACAGAACACCTCGAAGTCTTTAATCGCGCCTCCAAGTGAGGTTGGTCAAAGACCATTAAGAAAAAGAGAGGATAAAGGGGACAGAGAAGGCATCCCCCATACACACCCTATTTCATAGATAATTCGTCTTGAGTTATTTTTAAGACCACAGATCCCGAGGGGGATTAGACAACAGTCACTCACATAGCGCGAATGTCTTCTGCGTGGATGACCCACGCTCAGAGCCACGCGTCCTTCACTAATTGACGCAGAACAAAATGGCGGAAGACGCGGACAGCGATATTGCTATTCGTTTTGTCGACGAAAACGACTACAGAGAGATATCTGCTAAAGCTGTGTCAGCGAAACGGAAATTAAAAAAGAATCGCCCTTCCTTTCTTGTACAGAGGTAACAGTACAGCAGGGAAATCCTTAACACACTGAATATTCTCTCAGGATCATTTATAATTTACAGTTTGAAGAGAGCAATTTCTGGTTTGATATTTATTCTTTTATTAGTCTTTTATTATTGAACAAAAATAACACTTGGCGTCCTACTTGCTTTATTGTACAAACGACCAGTTTCAATGGACCGACGAAATTTCTCATTTCATTAAAGCACTGAGGTTACGACAACTTCGAGTTAAACTGATTTCACGGGTTGTCAAAGAGTCTAGCGATTCCCTTTTCCCAGGTGAGCGCCGACTCATTTCGCGTCAATATTCAGGAATGCTCTCGATCTCTTTACGCTTTCATTGCCTTTCGCCCGACTTTGTTTTGCATGGCGTTTAGTCATGCAAAAACCTCCACGAAACATCCACACAGCGCGCGAGGTAACTTTATCCCGATTCTAAAAATAACTCGAGACGAATTACCTATGGAATAGGGTGTGCATGGGGGATGCTTTCTCTGGCCCCTTTATCCTCTCTTGGAAAAAGATTTTACCGAGGCTGATGGAACACTTCAACCACTAAAATGAATGTTACGTAATTATAGATTTGCCTTGCCAAGCGAAAAATTAATATGATCGCTGATAATTGCTCCTTTGACCGAACATTATAAAAGTTTGAGAAAAGGAATTTCACATAGTTCTATACTGCCATGTGAATCTCATCCCTCTTGAGATTTTCAATAACAACTGTCTACTTAAACGAAGAAAAGATATGTCAATAAAAGACAAGGCCCCCCCGAATAGGCTAAAAGCAAATGAGAATAAAACTGTCCTAATTCTTGACTCGTACTATAATAATACTAATAAATTTAAATTTGTGAAAAAAAATTCATTTGGAAGAGAGCACTTTACCGACAATTCAGAAGGAAATCCAGTTCTTTGTCTTTTAAGCGAACTTTAGCAGATACCAATCCGATTACAGCCTCTAAACTGACAATAAAAAGATACCACCGTTTTAAAGTTACTTTATATTTTGACTTTTATACTTCACTGCTTTTTTAACCCTTCTGTGGCCCAAATGCCAACAGAAACTTAACATTTAGCAAAAATTTTCTGCAACTGTCATTTTTTCTAAAGGTTTTTGTTGCACAGTATCAGGGATGACTTGGCCGAAGGTTGATTAATGTATTTTCTGGAAACACACACATTAACGACCTCTATATTGGACAAAATAGACGCAAAATTTATTCGTAAAAGGATGGGGAAATGGCGCGTTTTGGTTTTCGCGTGGCTTTTTTGCTCCTTATTTTGAGCCACCAAGGAGTTACTTTCCCAGCGATAATCTGTCCAAGGATTGTACGCGTTTGTAACGTGTTGAGTGTACACAAATATTTAAAAAACTTCAGTAGTCCATGCTTTAACCTGCGTAGCAAACTTTTCAGAACGAATGAAGGAGAGAAAGCTGCATTGCTTCATTCCCCTTTTTTGCTCTCGCCCCAACTTTCGCGCGGAAACGCCCGCCGACAGGTTACCCAGGCTTCAAAGAGCTGATTAACAATTCTCGGAAACAAGGATGTTTTTTATTTTTCCGTAAACCCATCAAAACATGTCAAGAAACTCTATTTGATTGGCTAATAATACAGAGTTTAGTCTGGGTCGCAAAACACGAGAGTTCATTGTCCATTCGCAAAGGCATTAATTCCCTTCATCGTCAACACTTAGGTCCACATTTTTAAAAAGTTAACTTGTTTCCGACCTTTTCCATGGATATAAAGACCTTGCTGGACAATCTTCATGATGAAGTATCCTGTTCTGTGTGTATGTGTCCATTCACTGATCCAAAGCAGTTGCCTTGTTTGCACAGTTTCTGTCTTCACTGCCTAAACGGAATTCAACGAACGAGCGGCTTGCGTGGTAAAATTACATGCCCTGAGTGCAGGAGACCGTTTCAGATTTCTGGAAGTGGAAATCCCAGCGAACTTCCCACTAATTTTCGAATAAACAGCCTGCTAGATGTCTTGGCAATAAAAGAGTGCAGTACAGTCAACGTCAAATGCAGAAACTGCGACAAACGGAGCGCCAAGACCTTATATTGCTTCCATTGTTGTTCCTTCTGGTGTGAAGAATGTATTGTAGGACATAACATAATTCGAGAAAATAAAGATCACAGAACGCTAGCACTAAAATATTTTCGAGATCAAGACATCAAGGCTGTTTTAGAGCGACCAGCATTTTGTCAGAAGAAACACCATGAAAACAAAGAGTTGGAGCTCTTTTGCAAGGACTGTAAAGTCGCCATTTGTAGCGCTTGTGCCATGACACTTCATGAAGGTCATGGTAAGATGCTTTTGCAAGAAGCTACACATGCCCGCAAGACACAGATCAAATCCACTATTAAATCTTTGAAAGACAAAGCACTGGAAAAACGAAAGAAAGTAGAAAAAATGAACCAAAAGAGCATCGAACTTCAATCGCAAGTAGCCGACGTAAAAAGTCAAGTGCAGTCCTTTGTAGACCAAATTATTGCAATCATCGAAGCGAGGAAGCAGGATGTTTTTGATGTGATTGATAATCAAGCGAAAAAATCACTGGAATCTCTGTCACAGAAAAAAGACGAAGTCGACAAACAAGTGAAATTAATTGAATCAGCAATTGAACAAACTGAAACTCTGTTGAAACGAAGCTTTAGTACTGAAATCCTTGGATTCAGTGAAACATTTGATACAATCCTGCGGGAACAGAGCAGTCAAGAAAACCGTGACACTGAATGTATTCCTCGATTTAGTTTTACTAAAAGTGAAAAACTGATTAGCCTTTTGAACATGAGCGAGGGGATAGGTAATGTAGAATTTGTAGTTAACGAACCTAAATCGCAACAATCGGGAACTAAAGGTAAAGAAAGTAGTAACGTAATTGCTGGGAATAAAGGGGCAAACGTTCGTGACAGCCACGGTCCTCTTGAGACTCAGGTACAAACCAGGCGCTTCAGATCTGTGCTGTCATTTGGACGATACGGTAAGTCTGTTGGAATGCTTGACCGTCCCTGGGGGGTGGCAGTGAATGATCAGGATGAAATTGCTGTGACTGAGTCGGGTAGCCACAGGGTTTCAGTGTTTGGTAGTGACGGTACCCACTTAAGATCGTTTGGTAGGTTGGGTAAGAATAATGGTGAGTTTGATTTCCCTGAAGGGATCGCTTTTGATAGTCATGGCAATATTGTAGTGGCAGACTCTTTTAACGACAGGGTGCAAGTCTTTGATACGAATGGTAACTTTCTTAGTAAGTTTGGTGAACAAGGAAGTCGTGATCATCAGCTTAGTAACCCTGTAGGTTTATCAATAAACGGTAACGGTGATATTATTGTTGCTGATACCGGTAACCAATTAATCAAGATATTCTCCTCTAGTCACAACTATTTACGTAAATTTGGTGGCGCAGGTTCTTTGGTCAGTCCCTTTCACTGTATCCAACACGGTCAATATTTTATAGTCTCAGATGCGGGTGATCATTCCATTAAAATGTTTGATCTTGAGGGAAAATTTATTTCTAAATTTGGAAAACAGGGAAACAAGTATGGAGAGTTCAATAAGCCCCGTTACTTGTCAGTCAACAAAGAAGGATTGCTAATGGTCTGTGATGCAGAAAATCACAGAGTTCAGGTATTTGAACTGAGTGGAAAGTTTGTTACAAAGTTTGGAAGTGAAGGTAGTGAGAGAGGAGAGTTCAGGTTTCCAAGGTCTTTAGCAAATCTTAGTGATGGAAGGATAGTTGTGTGTGAAATGAATAACAACCGAATCCAAGTGTTTGACAAGATATAATAGATCTTACCAGTGGTATAATTATTGTTGAAAAGTTCAAATTGGTTATCAAGAATATGAAACCTTAATTTTTCGAACAACGCCATCTCGTGAGGTATTTGTCACTGAGTCACTGTTGACCTTTTCTATTTGTCGTGAGGGGGGGGAGGGGGGTCGAAGGGGGGGGGGCATTAGGTTGCCCTCACAAACAGTTTGTCTTTTCTGTGAACGTAGCAAAAAATTACAAAATCGTGGCTGTAATAACAGCTGAAATGACACTCAACTTGTAAATATATTTTGTAACGTTGTTTTCAAATGTATTGTAGTCTCATTTAATTGGGCACCGATTGTAGTTTAATAAGGTAGATCACTTTTTTGGTATCAAAATTGCTTTTTTATGTTGTATACCTTTTCATTTTCTTTCCAGCAGTTGCTAGTTGTTAGCTGGTGTATTTTTGGAAATATTATTCCCGAGCCGTTAGCTCAAGTACCATTTTTTTACTCAACAGGTTCTTCAGGTTCTTTAGTTATAACATATATTAACCCGATTGTATAATAATGATTTGTTGAAAACGCATTAAAGCGTCATTAAAGGACAATCAAATATAAAGAATGTTCTTTTTTGTTCAAATTTATCGTTGTCAATGAGACCGTCATGTGTTGGAGTTAAACGTACCAGTTTCCTTCATTCAAGTGTAAATGTATTTAGCACCAGAGTACTATATTGAGGACACTGTTTTTACCTCCCTATTCGGAGAATGGACCACCATTTCTATGTCCAATGATCAGCAGCGGAGCCAAGTGTTGGTCTATTGAGCAGTTTACAGGACAAGACAGGACAGTCAAATCCCGCTTAATACAGACACCTCATTGTTTGTCCCCGGTGAAAAAAGCCCTTACATTTTCTCTTGATTCAACCCCCTTAATAAGGACTCCTTAGTTATTTTAGGACCCTCAGTATTGGTCCGGCCTCCTGCACCTCACCATCCTACAGTCAAACGCTCTACAGGGTGAGCTTATCTTTTCGTTTTAAGGTAGAAACCGACCATAGACGCTTCAGTTCAGTGCGTGTACTACACGCTGAACCCAAGTGTAACCTGCGTAGCAAGCGCATGAAGGGGAGGGGAGAGGTAAGACATGAGAGCAGATCTCCTCTCCTCTCCTCTCCTCTTCTCTCCTCTCCACTTCTCTTGACCTTATCTTATTTACCATAAATCCTCTATTAAGTCCTCCCTCTTAAATACCCCCCTCCCCTTTTTGAGGATGAAAGTTAAGAGCCCCCCCCCTCTCATTTAAGTCTCCCCTCCCCCTTATTATTCTTCACTAATAAATGATACACTGTATTAATCAATCATGACTGTTTACACACTGTCCAACCATCCCGATCTCGTCGGGCTTCTCCCGATTTTGTTTGAAAATCCCGAATCCCGACCAATATGCGATGGGATAAGAACAATCACGATTTTGAAATCTGTTTTGATAAATATACAGGAGCACCTAACAGAGTGTACTTAATTGAAACTGATACCCAAAAAACTTAAATATACAACCTAGAGTATAAAACAAAATCGAGTACTTGTATGTAAAAACACGCAAATAAAAAAAGGGAAAAAAACAATCAATTTAGCGAAAGAAATCGCCCGCTAAGAACACAAGAATAGCGTTTCAGAGCATTAAAATTTCAAAATTTTCTGGGGTAGCATGCTTCCAGACCCCGCTAAGGACTCGCATCCTCGACGCTCACGTGATGTGATTCGAATATTATTCAAAAAATATCCCGATTTTACATACTCAAACGGTTGGACAGTCTGAGTTCAGCTGTGAGTTTAACTTCTTTTTATTACCAACTGGAAGTTGGCTGCATGACCTCCAACCTTCTTGTTCTTGAGCTGCTCTACTTTGTATTCTAGTTCTTTATGGAGAACTGATACCATCGTCTTTTCTAAATTAAATAAGCCCCCCTCTCAAATAAGCCCCCTGTCTCTGTTAATCCATCCCCTCAAATAGGCTTTTAATAAATAAGCCCCCCCCCCCCGGGGGGGCTTAATAGAGGATTTACGGTATCTGTTTAACAAAATAGGGTTCCTCATAAGAGGAGTCTCCTTAATCCCCCCCATAATCCCTTCCCCTTCTCCCTGTCCATCCCCTTTTTCTAATCTTCACACAGGTAAACCCTATGGCATCGTTGAGCAACGATAACTTCTCTCCTTAACTCTTTTTTGAGGGCCCGGGGGACTCCCATATAAAAGTGACGGGAATGTTCCTCGATCGATCGTCGTCTCGGCGCTTTGAGGTGTAAATTGCAGTTTTTGGTCTCACTTAGGGTGTTCAGGATGTAAAGTCACTATATCTGCCCATTCAGGTATCGCTTAGTACTGTGCGTAAAGAAATTTACAAAACATGCCCTGACACTGCACAGAAATCTCCCTTAGGGCCGGGGTTAGTGTAAGCTTGAGCCACACCGGCATTGGTCAGGGATAAGGGTAGCCTGAATTCAGACGATTACTTCGAGTCGTTTTTAAGGGTTTAATTTGAATTCTCCGACGAACATCTCCGCCATTTTTATATGGGAGCGCCCCCGGATTTTAGGGTGTCCATTTAGTTCTTGGAGGGTCTAATCGGTTATCGTTTACCATGGGCTTTGGGCGTCCAATGGGTTGGTAATCAAAACAGACGAGATGTAATGAATTAAAGAATGATGTGTGATTTTGTGCAGGACCCCTCCAAGGTTCCATCATGGCTGAGTGTTCATCGCAGTTGGTTTAATTCTAGACTTCGTAGATCCAAAGGTACAAGCTTAATTCCCGGATAACTATCAACTACTATCAGGTTTATAAAGAAAGTTTTTTCATTCCAAAATAAGAATTAACACTTTCGAGTTTAAATAGGGTGTTGCAAAGGAATAAAACGTAGGGAATTGACATTGAAATGCACTTAAACAACTCAAAGAAAAACACGGTGACCTTCTTCCATCAGATAAAATGCTCAAATAGGAACATCACTTCCTTAACAATGGAACGCTACTGGTCACAATTCAACTTGTCCTAAATAAGAAATTTGCGACTCTGTCTGAGCAAAATTGCCGTCACATATTGATCTTGCTTTGCCTTCTTTTATTATCATCAGAAGCTGGTAGAAATTCGCGCTAGAGTTCCATTCCCTTCATTGAGAGCGAGGAGCGCGGTCGCTGGCGGCAAAAATTCCCTCTCAGGAAGGCTGAGCCATTGGAAAGCCCTCCCGTCGGACGAAAATATACATTCTGACTTGTATTTTGTTTCTGCAGAAAGCCCCCGTATGGGAGAGTAACAGGAGCAGAGTTCAGTAAATACTCACACAGCTGATGGAATATCAATCAGGTTCCCACGGGTGACAAGGATAAGAGATGATAAGAACTGGCGGAAAACTGCTGATAATTTGCTCCATCTTAGGGTGAGCTAAACAAGGTTAATTCCCCGAAGTATCCTGGATAATTTTCCACACATTGGCCCTTTAAGATCTTTTAAGGCATGAACTAGGTCGGTACTGTGTCTAATATCACTGTTGGACGGTTTGCGGAGGGGGGTGGGGATGGTGAATTTTCACCCGGTCTCCTGCGCAACGATGCAACAGGGCGATCGGTCCCCAAAACTGTCCCAGAGTTCAATTGGTTTCTGTACCGTCCCACGCTCCTCACGCGTGAAGTCAAATTGACCAAATTAGGACACTACAGGTGTTTTCAGGGAGCGTGTACTAGAATTTCGTCTGTTTAATAGTGTTCCACTCATTGACTCTTTGAGACGACCGTTGGACCGGTTATTACTGTTACCCGAGAAAAGCGTCCGCCTTGTAGAAAGTGAGGAGAGGGGACATCTTCAGATGTCCATTTTAATGAGCTGTTAGTTTGCTTTCACAATCACACACAGGCAGCTACATTACTTAGTGCGGCTCACTTGTTCGAAAAATGCGCCTGCGCTGTACGCCATGTGTCACCTCATAAAGTAGCTCGCCGCGTGCGGAATCAAATTCTGAGCTGTATTAAAAAGAACTGGATTCGATCCCTTGCTGAGCGTTGTCATTACGCTTTTACTCTTTTTTCATTCAATTACTGTTGCATTTTTCGCAGGTTTTATTCAAGAACTCAAAAGCATCTAACAGTGAGTGGCTTTTTCTATACATGACCAGTTAAGTAAAGAAAAGAAACTTACCTAAATGTGAACCTTTGTGGAACCGCTTTGTTCGAAGAGATCGGCAAATTTTGTGTACCGTATTACGTATGAGTCAGTACACAGGCAACGGAAACGAAAACAAAGTTTGGAGCGCACTGGTTTTTTTTTTGAGTGCGTGAATGTTGGCCAGAAAACTGTCGGCACCAGCTAAGAGCAACGTTTCATCAGACATCGAGGAGTTATTGGGTTGACCTTGTCTACTCTTCCTTCTCATGTTTCCTCTTTAATTGTGAGTTTGGACCAGTTTGGAACTTATAGAGCTACACAATTAACAGGTTAAGCTGGCAGTTTTTTTTTTTTACCGTATTTTCCAGTCAACGAAATGACATTAACTTTTGACACTAATTTAGACTGTTAGACAAACATTACATAGCTACAAAGGAAATGAACAAGTAGTTACAGCCTATTTCAAATCAAACACTTCGAAAGGTAAGGACACTATATTATTATATGCGACCATTATTTTTTGTTGAAGATACTGCAGGAGATGTGAAAGACGATGACCACATGACTACAATGATGATGATGAGAATGATGAGAATAGAAGTAATGATGATGATATTAATGACTTTGGCGACGACAATGACTCTAAATCAGAGGTGAACCACAGGAAGAAAGTAAATGATGAGCCACAGAAAGAAAAGCGTTGGACACTGCTGAAGAAGGATCGCCTAAGAAGAAGGTTTGCTCTGAATTCATTTACATTCCTACAATTTCAAGTCTGGCCTGGCAAAAAGTTCAATGAAAATGGTCTCATGTATTTGACAAGCTGACCGAATTGGAATATTTGAAATCCTTTTGCTATTTTTTGGATATTTTTCTACAGCTCTTGAAACTCGTGGACATGGACTGACAATTTACTTCTCGAAAGACCTTGAAGATCACGCGAAACTCAAAAGATTTATTATTGTGTATCCTTTGAGATACCTTTTTGTATATAATTTAATAAAAATTGAGCAGGGGAAACGTGTATCGCTTTAGACGACAGCATACGGAACCACACGTTTCTGTGTTTCCTACCAAAATAGGATTCACAATGTTTTGAATCCGCACTCAGCTTGAATTCAGCCGATTTATTCCAAACTGGAATCCGCCTCGCATTGTGAATCAGTGTTTCTTTAGGGAGGTATTTGAAGAGAAAAATTCGCGCCTGAAACTTGGCCAGCGGAATACAAAATATGCTATGTTTCTGTACCAAACCATGGTACAGCTACCACGGTAAATTCGTCTTCGGTTTGCCTTTTCTAATGGTGACCAGTTTTCATCCACTATTGACCTTGAATGTGAATTCAGAACTGCAAAGAAACGCAGCATAACCACCGCTTTTGCAATTTTTCCCGCGCTTTTTATCTGCTGCGCTATACTATCATAAGCTTTGATCTATAAAACAGGACAATTTTTTAACCATTCTTAACATGACTGGTTTTTAGTTATGACGGAGATTTGGCGAAAGATTTGAAAAGACCAGTGCAACACATATTGTTAGCAACAATAGGGTAAGCAGATGAAAACTAATTTGCGCACGTTTACTTTTTGTGTTAAAATACAAGGCTGCGGAGAGCCGGGATATTATTTACAAATTTTTGTAGGCCTTTATTGGACCGGACTAGAAAGGAGAAGACAAATTGCAAAAAAAGAAATGAGACTAAAAAGAAAAAAAGAAAAACGGAAAAACAAAAAAAAATGCAAAGAAGGTAGAGGGAAGAAACCCCAAATACAAGCGTGTTTAAACTCACAAGAAATTAGAAAAGTTAATAAAGTAAAAAAACAAATCAAAACAAACAAAAACAAGTAAAAAAAGTTATACGTTTAATAATGAAAGCACGCTGATCAAAACATACACGACCAGTATGTTTTAGTCTCCGTTGCAGCCGGCCCTGCACGCACTTGATAACAACAAATGAGAATAAAGCATCTCAATTCTTGACTCGTACCATAATCACGTACTAATTTAAATTTGTAAAAAAGATTATTCGAAAGAGAGCACTTCACCGAGGTGTCCGTAAACAATGACAACTACGGACAATTCAGATGCTGATTGTTGCACTTTACTTTCGCTAAAAACAAATTCTACTTTACCTATCCCCTCGCTCATGCTCAGAAGGTAGGCTGAAGGTTAATCAGTTTTTCACTTTTAGTGAAACTAAACCGAAGAATACATTCAGTGTCACGGTTTTCTTTGGTTCTGTTCCTGCAGGATTGAATCCAATGTTTCACTGAATCTAAGGATTTCAGTACTAAACTTCGTTTCAACAGAGTTTCAGTTTTTCTACTTCGTCTTTTTTCTGTGAGAGAGATTCCAGTGATTTTGTCGCTTGATTACCGACAGCATCAAAAACATCTTGTTTTCTCGCTTCAATGATCACAATAATTTTGTCTACACAACACTGCACTTGGCATTTTACCTCGGTCTTTGGATTGAAATTGCGATGCTTTTTTGGTTGAATTGTTCGGCTTCCTTTTGTTTTTCCAGTACTTTGTCTTTCAAAGATTTTATCACGGAGCTGATCCTTTTTTTTGCGTACGTCGGTAGCTTCTTGCAAAGGCATCTTAACATGACCTTCAAGGTACCTGCACGCTGAATTATACTCTATAAGTTAACACACCTTGGTCTTAAGGAAAAACAGTCCCTGTTATACTTCACTGCACCTTCAACCCCTCTGTGATTGGAAGTCTAAGCTTGCATGGCCCAAAGGCCCACGGAAACTAAAGATTTTAATGGTTAAAAGTTTCTGCAACTGCCATTTTTTCTGGAGCATTTTGTTAGACAGTATATATCAGAGATGACTTGGCCGAAGGTTGATTAATTAATTAATGTACCTAAAGCTCTTTCATTCCTATTTTCGACTTTCTTGACCCCCTTGCGCGAAAAAAGCTTGCCGGCAATTTATCCATGCTTCAAAGAGCTGATTATCAATTCTTGGAAATACATTTGATGATTTTAATTCTTCGGTCAAACCACCAAAACATGTCAAGAAACTCTATTTGATTGGTTAATAATAGAATGTTTAGTCTGGGTCACAAAACAAGACTTCATTGTGCATTTGCAAAGCCATTCTCTTGAAGCTTCTTGATCGCCAACAACTAGAAGCCAAAATTTTATGAAAAGTAACCTTGCTTCCGACCTTTTCCATGGATATAAAGACCTTGCTTGACAATCTTCATGATGAAGTATCCTGTTCCGTGTGTATGTGTACATTCACTGATCCAAAGCAGTTGCCTTGTTTGCACAGTTTCTGTCTTCACTGCTTGAACGAAATTCAACGAACAAGCGGCGTCCATGGCAAAATTACATGCCCCGAGTGCAGAAGACAGTTTCAGATTTCTGGAAGTGGAAATCCCAGCGAACTTCCCACTAATTTTCGAATAAACAGCCTGCTAGATGTCTTGGCAATAAAAGAGTGCAGTACAGCTAACGTGAAGTGTGGAAACTGCGATAAAAGGAGTTCTCAGACCTCGTATTGTTTCCAGTGTTGTTCCTTCTGGTGCGAGAAATGCATTTTAGGACATGACATAATGCGTGCTAACAACAAACACAGAACGCTAGCACTAAAAGATTTTCAAGATCAAGACACCAAGGCTGTATTAGAGCGACCAGCATTTTGTCAGAAGAAACACCATGAAAAAGAAGAGCTGAAATTCTTTTGCAAGGGCTGTAAAGTCGCCATTTGTAGCACTTGTGCTGTAACACTTCATGAAGGTCATGGTAAGATGCCTTTGCAAGAAGCTTCTGATGAGGGCAAAACACAGATTAGCTCCATGATAAAATCTTTAAAAGACAAAGTACTGGAAAAACAAAAGGAAGTCGAACAATTCAACCAAAAAAGCATCGCATTTCAATCGAAAGTAGCCGAGGTAAAAAGCCAAGTGCAGTCTTTTGTAGACCAAATTATTGCAATCATCGAAGCGAAAAAACAAGGTGTTTTTGATGCAGTCGATAATCAAGCGACAAAATCACTGGAATCTCTCTTGCAGAAAAAAGACGAAGTGGAAAAACGGTTAAAACGAATCGAATCAGCAATTGAACAAACTGAAACTCTGTTAAATCGAGGTTTTAGTACTGAAATCAAGGGATTCTGTGAAACATTTGATTCAATCCTGCAGGAACAGAGCACCAAAGAAAACGGCGACACAGAATGTATTCCTCGGTTTAGTTTCACTAAAAGTGAAAAACTGATTAACCTGTTGAGCATGAGCGAGGGAATAGGTAAAGTAGAATTTGTTTTTAGCGAAACTAAAGGGCAACAATCAGGAACTAAAGGTAAAGAAAGTAATAAAGTAGTTGCTGGGGATAAAGGGGCAAATTTTTGTGAAAGTCCTTTTAAGGCTCATGTAAAAACCAGGCGCTTCAGATCTGTGCTGTCATTTGGACAAAAAGGTGAGTCTGTTGGAATGCTTAACGTGCCCTACGGGGTGGCAGTGAATGATCAGGATGAAATTGCTGTGACTGAGCTCGGTAATAACAGGGTTTCAGTGTTTAGTAGTGACGGTACCCACTTAAGATCCTTTGGTAGGAAGGGTCAGAATAATGGTGAGTTCTATTGCCCTACAGGGATCGCTTTTGATAGTCATGGCAATATTGTGGTGGTAGACTGTTATAATCACAGGGTGCAAGTCTTTAATCGGAATGGCAACTTTCTTAGTATGTTTGGTAAACAAGGAAGTCGTGATAATCAGCTTGAATTCCCTCGAGGTTTATCAATAAACGGCAACGGTGATATTATTGTTGCTGATAAAGGTAACAAATTAATCAAGATATTCTCTTCTAGTGGGGAGTATTTACGTAAATTTGGTAGAGCAGGTTCTTTGGTCTCTCCCATTCACTGTATTCAACATGGTCAATATTTTATAGTCTCAGATCGTGGTGATCATACCATTAAAATTTATAATCTGAAGGGAAAGTTTATTACTAAATTTGGAAATCAGGGAATCAAAGATGGAGAATTTAATGAGCCCCGTTACTTGTCAGTTAACAAAGAAGGATTGCTTATGGTCTGTGATGAAAAGAATCACAGAGTTCAGGTACTTGATCTGAGTGGAAAGTTTGTTACAAAGTTTGGAAGTGAAGGTAGCGAGAGAGGAGAGTTTAAGTGTCCAGTGTCTACAGCATATCTTAGTGATGGAAAGATAGTTGTGTGTGATAAGGAGAACAACCGAATCCAGGTTTTTGACCAGTTATAATATGATCTTTCCAGTGATATTATAGTTGAAACTTTCAAGTTGGCTTCTTTATCTAGAAAAAGAAACCGTAACTTTCCGAACAACATCCTGAATTCGTGAGGTATTTGTCCTTGTTGCCGGGTGGGGGCATTAGGTTGTCCTCACGCGTAGTTTGTCTTTTCTCTGAATGTAGCAATAAATTATAAAATCGTGGCTGTAATAATAACTGTAATAATAGCTGAAGTGACATTCAAATTGTAAATATATTTTGTAATCCTTTTTCAAATATATCGTATAGTCTCATTCAATTGCCGATCAGGGGTAGTTTAATAAGGTTGTTCAATTTTTTGGTATCAAAATTGTTTTGTATGTTGTACACCTTTTCATTTTCTTTCCAGCAGTTGCTAGTTGTTAGCGAGTGTATTTTTGGAAGTATTATTCCCGCGCCCTCAGCTCAAGTACCATTTTTTTTTCTCATCAGGATCTTCAGGTCCGTTAAATTATAACATATATATTTACAGAATTGTATACCGTTTTGTTGAAAATGCATTAAAGGATAATCAAATGTGAAGAATGTTTTCTTCCTTTAAATTTATCGTTGTTTATGAGACAGTCATGTGTTGACGTTAAACGCACCAGTACCTCATTCAAGCGTAAGATAATGTATTTAGCACGCTTGTACTAATTGAGGACACTATTTTTACGTCTCTTCTCGGAGAATGGACCATCATTATATGTCCAGTGATCATCCGAGCCGCGTATAGGTCTCCTAAGCAGTTTGTAGGACTGCAAGGCAACAGTACAATCAAACCCCTCTTTAATCAAACAACCGAAAAATCATCTTTTGCCGATTTTTTCACCTGATTTTACATTAAATGGCCAGATTTGATTGGTTTACGATGAAAAGTGGATTTTTGTCAAATTGCTTGGTACTTTTGCTTGATGACAACCGCTTAATTAATATAGACACCTCATTTTTTGCCCCTGGGGAAAAAAAAGCCCTTACCCAGTTTTCTCTTAATTCAACCCCCAAAATACGGACACTTCCGTCTCATTCCAATCTTTTTTCAAGAAGACTATCGATAGCCACTGTTTGGACCTGCAAAAGGAAAACCGTTTGCTTTCTACATAGTTTGCATTTCGACCGAAAGGATTTCTAGATAAAACAGGGCGTGGCTGGTCACGTGATGCATTTATAAACAAATGAACTTTGAAGATTTCTTAGTTATGATTAGCCTTAATTTATTAGACCTGGGATACGGTAAAATTCCGAAAATAAGCCCCGGGGCTTATATTTTTCAAAGGCCCTTTTTGAGGAGTTTATTTTTGGAGGGGCTCGTCTACGGAGGGAAATATGCGTTTCAAAATCGATTGGGCTAGCCTTATAGTTGGAAGTAAATTTACCATTTTCCTTTGTTTTACTTGCATTTGAGGGCAATTTTCCTCTGAGTACAAACCCCGGGGGAGCTTATATTTGGAGGGGTGATTTAACGGAGGGTTTTTTGCGTCACAGGATTGGGGGGCTTATATTTGAAGGGGCTTATACATGGAGGGGCTTATTTTCGGAATTTTACGGTATCTTAAAACAAAGTTACATTTGACGACCCCTCTTCAAAATTCTGAGGAATTTGTAAAGAACCAAGCCTTGCTTTGAGATTGGTCAAAATTTGCGAGATGATGTACACGAGGACATGACTTGTGCTCTATCCTCGCCGATATTGCTAATTACCATCTTAACAGCTGGAATTGAAAGCCCAAGGGGTCCAGGGAGAATAATATGCATGGGTCCATATGGACCCAAAACGACCAAAGCAGACGACAAAGAGTTTTATTAAGCATTAGACCACACTTTCTATGGGCTTACCGGCGTGATAATCCTCTCGGCTCGTGATTTACAAGCTTTTTGAGTGTTCTCCCAACATCCCGCGTGGGTTATCACGCCCGTAAACTCATAGAAAGTGTGGTCTATTGCTTTTTTAAAATAACTTTAATTTTCTATGAGTTTACCGGCACAATAAACCACAGGTTTTTAACCAATCAGAACGCGCGTACTATCTTAGTTATTCTATAAAGGTAGAAATCTGTTTTAAATCTACCATAAACACTTCAGTTCAGGGCATGTACTACAAGCTGTACGCAAGTGTAACCTGCGTAGCAAGTGTATGAAGAAGAGGGGAGAGAAAGGACATGGAAGCAGATAAGGTTATCTCCCCTCTCCTCTCCTCCTCTCAGGGGTCCGGTCTCCTCAATCCTATCTATAATTCCCTCCCCTCCCCTCCCCTCCCCTCTCCTCTTGTCCTTAACTTATCTTCAGTCTGTTTAGCACTATAGGGTTCCTCAATGCAGGAGTCTTTTTAATCCCCTCCCCTTCTCCCTACCTGTCCCTTTTTTATGTTCTTCACACAAGTTAACCCTATGGTATTCTTGAGCAATGGTTACCTGTTAGGTTATCGTTTGACCTTAACTCTTCCATGTCTAGTTCTCTATTTTTTTTTTAAGGTATCCATAGAGGTCGTATAGAGGGTCTAATCGGTCGTCGCTTACAATACTTTGGGCCTTTGTCGTCCAATAGTTAGAGACGAGTTGTAATGAATTTTTAAAATTATTATTTATAAATGATGAGCGATTTTGTGTAGGACTCCTCCAAGGTTCCATCATGGCTGAGTGTTCATCGCAGTTTAGTTCCTGACTTCGTTGTTACTGGATAATTATCAACTACTATGAGTTTTATAACGAACATTTTTTTACTCTAAAATGAGGAATAACACTTCTGATTGAATACGTTGTCGTAGTGGAATAAGAGGTAGCAAATTGACTTTGAAATGCCAAAACTACTGGTAGAAAAATACGTACTTCCATCAGAAGAAAAGCTTAAATAGGAACATCATTTCCTTAACAATGGAACGTCACTGGCCACAACTAGTACTAAATAAGAAATTTGCGACTATGTCGGAGAGAAAATTGCCGTCACATATTGATCTTGGTCTTATTTTATTATGATAAGTTCGCGCGGGAGTGCCATTGTCTTTACCGCGAGTAGCGAGGTCGCTGGCCGCAAAAATTCCCGTGCAAGACGGCTTAGTCATTGGAAAGCCCTGTCGTCTGACGGAAAAGTACATTCTGACTTATATTTTTGTTTCTGTAGAGAGCCAAGGAGATAACAGGAGCAGAGTTTAGTACATCAACCACTCACACAATTCATGGCAACCTTGCAAACCTCTTGCGATAGCCAATAAAAGCGGTGTTCTCTCCAAAACTGTCCCAGTTTTCAATTCCGTTCTGTACCGTCCCAGGCTCCTCACGCGTGAAGTCCAAATGACCACATCAGGACACTGCAGGTGTTTTCTGGGATCGTGTA